AACCAAAAAAAAAAAACGAAGAACAATAAACCGATTATTTTACTTACTTTGAGCTTTCACCTTTGACTTTCTCACGCTTAAAAAGAAAAAGATGCAGCTGGAGATGACAAGTACCGCAAATGCAACAACCGCAATGGTTATGATGATAATAGTTCGAGATGAATTACTCTTTTTTCCTGCAAAATTTCAAAAATGAGCTTTCAATTTAAACTTTAGCAATTGCATCAGCAAAAGGATATGGAAAGTATCCTTTGATTAATTAAGTTAGAGAAACCATCTTCCCCTGTTGTCTACGAAAAGAAAATTTTCCCAGGTATACATCCCTCTAATACAAGATGGAGCTTGATTCCAGTCAGTGGATACCAAATTGCTTTTTCTGCAGGAAGGCATATGGCAGGGGAAAAGAAAACAACTGTTAACTTGACAACGAAAAAGCAGACAGGGTACCTGTTGTACTTGGGGTATCGTTCGAGGCCGGAGGAGATAGTGGTGATACTGGTGTTGGTGGCGGTGGCGATGCTAGTGATGGTGTATCAGCAGTAGTAACATTATAGAAGCGTTCAATCTCAAACCTGAAATTGCAGCTAGGCCTAATTACCCTGCCTCCTTGTTTTCTATCACAGCAAGTCGGAATAAATTCAATAGCCTGAGACAAGCAAGAGCTGCATTCGGGCTCCGTCAAATCAGGAGTGCATTGAACAAGTGCATATAATGTTTGGAAAGCTGTAACTGGTCTACTACCCGTTGCAAACTTGCGAGAGGAAGTGCCTGATGAAGCGTTAGTTCTTAGGTAGTTCATCAAAGCAGTCAGGGCCTGATTAAAAGCATCCACATCCGTGACGTTGTTTTGATTCCACATGTAGAAAGAAGGGTTGGTTTCCGCAACACCAAAGATGGAGCGATTTGTGTATCGCAACATGCAAAAGTCATACCAGATAACTGCTTCTTTCCGGTTGGGACAGCGGTTTCTGAGCTCAGTGGTTGCGTTATTGATGCAGTCGAGGCAATCACCAGAATTAACATCTCCTCTGCAAAGTGCGATTACGTTAGCTCTCTCGGAGTCTTGGCCAGATGACATATTGTAGAACCCATAATCATTTGCCGTGTTCGAGGAGAAAGATGACAGCAGGCGATTGAGGTTTGCCTCGTAAGTGCTGTTTCTGGTGAAATTACCACTTGTGTCTAAACAGAAATGGTAGAGAGGCTCTTGTCCGGCAACGGTGAGACTAAGAAGGAATGTAACAATTAAAGAAGAGAAGAAAAACTGCCGCGAAGAATCCATTGCCCTGCCTGCGGTATACAGGGATTTTGCTGCTTGTTTTTCTTCCAAGCTATTCTCTGATTTTCAGAGTTTTTGCGTTGAAATGAACAGTCCTTATATGGAGATTGGATGACATTGTGTCAGGACTTGTCAAAAGAAACTAAGGGGTTTTATGGAAAATTCTCCAAAGTGTGGAGTTGACGGTATGTAATAACTGAAGAATGTTCGATTGTAATTATAATATTTATTTGCTTATGTAAATCTTATAAACAGATAATTACACTTTGTTATGCAATAGTCCAATTTTTTTTGTTTTTTGAGAGAGGGAGAATTGTATTTAGAATTTTTTTTTTAAGAGACAGGATAGGATTATTATGTATTAACGAACCTAACCCAAGGTATAGTATCATGAAGGGCATGGAAGACAGCGAGATTTAAGAAGAATATTAGAATTCAATACAAAATGAAAAATAAGCTTATACCAAGAATCAAAATGATGTAAGCTGATCATACTCCCAGTCCAAAGTCCGCTCTATTCATAGTAGATTATGATAGCAACGCAAGTATTGCCATTCAAAATCCTTGAAAAATGGGGATTTGTTCATTAAAAAAGCAGGGGAAGAAAACATAAACTCAGCAGGACAAGCTGGAGTCAATCAGAAAAATCATATGTTTCTTCTTTTCTTAATTAGCAGGAAATTTCTAGGATCCTCAACCATGTGAGGCCAGCCACTTTCCGAACTCCAAAAACTGGCGAAAAGGAACATCGAAATGGGACAAGTGCCAACCTGATTCACATAAAAGGCTTTCACAATTTCTCCCGTCAAACACTCCATTTAGTTTTTGCTTGACCCTCTAGCGTGTGAAACAAGGGAAAGATTGTTTCCGCATCTTCAGTCGCTCCAATGTAGTGGAAAGCAAGTGGGGATCAGGCATAGAAAATTATGAACGAAATAGACCCCATTATCAAAGAAAAACATTAGGATCATTATTGCGTAAATTTACGACTTTTAAATAACGTGACAAAAATTTGAAGTGTGAGATCTGACCATTACAACAAGTAGCAGGTGCTTCCGGGCCAACACAGAAAGGTAACCAGTTATGCCTTGATTACTCCGAGGCTAGACGTCAATGACAATCAATTCATTGAAAGTTCCATGGTCTATTAATTATACTTTGACTTTAACAAGGCAAAGAAAGCCAAGTCCCTTGGTGTCCAATTTCCATGCAGAAACCTGCTGGAAGATCTCGTGTTCTCTGCCTAATTTTGTTCACCAGGAACCAGTTGCAGGATTCTGTGGCAGACGGCTGACTTGTATTATTGAGAATGTCACATGTTTTTAGGCAATGGTTCTGATTACGTGACTTCAACTATGTAAGATTTTGAGCTCTGTAGTTCAGTCCTTTGTTCAACTGAAATGAAGAAAACAGATGGAGTAATATAAGTATACAGCAGTCCTCTGGGAAAAAAAGAGAGAAAAAAGCTGAGTACTTCGGCATAGGATCGCAAGATGTGGGTTAAAGCTCTGGTTTGCCTTCTCCCCAATCTGCTTATAGGCATGAGTCTTGCCACCGCCGTAAGATGCTATGGCACAGGTAACTTTACAACTAATAGTACATACGGTATAAACCGCGACCTCATCCTCGCTTCTCTCCCAGCTAATGTCTCAGCAAACGGTGGTTTCTTCACTACCACTATTGGCCAAGTACCCAACAAAGTTTATGCTCTTGGTCTTTGCAGAGGAGACTCTCCTCCAGAAGATTGTTTTGGCTACCTCGATTCCACAACTCACGATCTCATAGCCAAGTGTCCCAACCAGAAAGAAGCCATTTCATGGGGAGGGAATCCACCGTCTATGGTAAGCTATGCAGATCGCTCGTTTTTTGGAATCCTGGAGCTAGAGCCTTACGATGCAGAACCTAACGTGTACGACATCAACTCGAACTTAACACAGTTTTATCATGTTTGGGAGACTTTGATGGTTAGCGTGGTGACAAATGCTTCCATGGGTTCTTCTAAGCTTAAGTATTCAACTGGTGAAGCAGAATCCGCAGACTCTCAAACGATTTACGCACTAATGCAGTGCACTCCAGATTTATCCCAGAGTGATTGTGAAACCTGCTTAAGGGAATCCGTGGGTCTATACCGAAGTAGGTTTAATAGGAAGCAGGGAGGTTATGTTCAGAGACCTAATTGTTGGTTCAAGTGGGACTTGTCTCGTTTCTATGTTCCAAATGCTTCTACTACTGCTCCATCCTTATCTCCACCACCACCAGCTGAAAGTCCTCCTCCACCTACGACGAACATTACAATCACAAAAGGTAATATGCCTGGTCATTGACACATGCAGTTTTTAGGGGAGAAATTAATGTGGAAAAAAAGTATTACTCAATCAAATTTCTTGCATGTGCAGAGGGTGGAGGCATTTCATCTCAAACTGTACTAGTCATTGTCGTTCCAATCATGGTTTTCGTGGCAGTGGTCCTCATTGCAAGCGCCATTCTCCTTAGAAGGAGGAAACCAAAGCAGAAGAATGAAAGTAAGCTAGTGTTCGATTTTTGTCTGTTAGTAGCAGTTTTTTTTTAACTATTAGTTTCCATTGATTAAGCTTATTATTTTTGATTTCATACTTTCTTTTGAAATTAAATGAATAATTTAATCCGAAGAAGAAGAAGTAGGAGAAAGAGTGGTTGCCCTTGAAGTGGTTATGAAGCGAAATCCATTAAAACTTTCCAGTGCTTTTTCTCTCCTTTTTATGCATTAACTTAACTCGCTCAATTTCTAAAAGCTGCAGATGAAACGAGCTGTGAAGAATCTTTCCAATTTGACTTCAATGCAGTCAGAGTTGCAACAGATAACTTCTCCCCTGCAAAAAAGATTGGAAAAGGTGGATTTGGTGTTGTTTACAAGGTAATTCAACATTTGGTACAGAAAATTTTCAATTATCCAAAACCGTAAAAATGAGGGATTGAAGGAATGAATGAGTGAAGCCTTCAGTTCGGTGACTTTACCTGCTTCCTCTGTTTACCGCTCTGCCTAAAGCGTCCGTTACAAAACGAGCATCCTTGCATGCTTAAAATTCAAGACCTTACCAGCCATCTTCGGAAGGGATGGAGGACTTTCTGTCGTATCTTTTCCGAGTGCTAGGATTGATGCTTCCAATGGTGTGTTGTTCATGCCACCCAAAGTTTCCATGCTATAGAAAATCTCAAATTGTCAAATTTCTTGTTAAAATATGTCAAAGCCAGTGTTTCTATCCATGCAAAAGAGGAAAAATAAAAGATAAAAGCTAGTGCATGTTCGTAATTCCTAGACAAATATATGAAATGCTTGTTCGATCATTTCCCTTTGTTACATATTTTTCAGGGCAAGCTTCCCGATGGACAAGTTGTAGCTGTGAAGAGGTTATCTGGAAATTCTGAACAAGGTGAACAAGAATTTAAGAATGGAGTCTTGTTAATGGTAAAGCTTCAACACAAAAATTTGGTTAGTCTTCTAGGTTTTAGCTTCGAAAAGAAAGAAAGGATTCTCATCTATGAGTTTGTGCCTAACTCAAGCCTTGACAACTTCATATTCGGTATGGTTGCGATCACTTTTGAGTTTACGGAATGAATTTCTGCATTTTACTCATATTGTTTTGTGAATTTTCATAGATCCAATTAAGCGTTTACTACTAAACTGGGACAAGAGATACAGAATCATAAAAGGAATAGCTCGAGGAATTCTTTATCTTCATCAAGATTCTCAGTATCGAATCATCCATCGTGATTTAAAAGCTGCTAACATTTTGTTAGATGAAGAGATGAATCCTAAAATTTCAGATTTTGGAATGGCAAAGTTGTTTGTGGTGGATCAAACTCAAGCTGATACAAGAAGAATTGTCGGGACATAGTACGTATAAGAAACCACTAATATTTTGTTGTTACAATTGTTAAGTTGTGAGCCCAAATCACAAGAATCCTATAACAATTAGCACATATACAACAAGAGTTTCATTTTAACAAGAACTGAGATTTCGTTTGTTTATTTATTTGTTTTACCTAGTGGATACATGGCTCCGGAGTACGCAAGGAAAGGGCATTTCTCAGTCAAGTCTGACGTTTATAGTTTTGGGGTCTTGGTTTTGGAAATCGTTAGTGGTAAAAGTATCAATGGTTTCCGAGACGAGGAAACAGGAGTCAATCTTATAACCCATGTAAGTAAAATGGAATTCTACCTGCGTTGCCTTCACTTGTTTTTGGTGCACTTGGACCTTCGTGCTACGTTCACATTGTCAAATCTTTGCAGGCATGGAAAAATTGGAACGAAGGGAACCCTTTGAAACTGATAGATGACATCCTGTTGGATGATTCCAGGAGTGAAATGTTGAGATGTATCCATCTTGGATTGCTATGTGTTCAAGAAAATATTGCTCGTAGACCAACCATGGACTCAGTTGTTCTCATGCTTAGCAGCTCCTCCATCTCTCTTCGGGCGCCCTCGAGACCTGCGTTTTTACTGCAATCTGCCAAGGTACCGGAAGGGGGGCCTGAATCATCCGGTTCCAGTCAATCTAAAAGTGCAGAGGTCCCAGTCACAGTAAACGAGGCTTCATTTACTGAGCTAGATCCTCGATAATGTTTAAGGAAAATTGCTGCATTGTTTGAGTATCTTAGTCCTGAAAAACCTGTACCTCTTCTTCGGGGCACAAAGAAAGTGACTCAACTAAAAGAGAACTTATCAAACTATTTAATTGTTCATGAAGAGGAAAAGAATAAGAAAATTTTTCTATGTAATTGTACTATCTTGTAATTATTCAAAAATTGGGAAATGATTAGAACTTTGTTTACTCCTTGTGTGGTAGTTTGTTATAAATAATTTTTTTATTGGTTGTCACATATTAAAACTAAAACCAATAATCAATTGCCTACTATTTAAGAAATTTCTTGGGTTTGTTCAATGCTTGAAATTTGGCAATTGGAATGTACGACATTTGGCTATTTATTGTTGTGGGGCTTGGCTAATTAATTGGATGTGAGAAAGGAGTTGGGTTGGTGGGTTTTTTATAGGTTGTGGGCTATTTCATTGGACCATCATGTGGTAGAAATGTCTAAGTTGTTGAATTTCTATAATGTACGATATGTTTTTTTATCAAATTATATAATTTTCAGGATTTTTTTATTTAAATAAATTATTATTTAGTTTAAATTAATTATTATATAAAGAAAGGTAATATTATAGACATTCTAATCCTTAAGGAGGAAAAAAACAAAAAAAATTAATAACAACATCATGATTTGTTACTAAATTCTTCTACCTTGCAAGATATTCTATATTTTCAATCCACTAAATTTCCTTTCCAACCTCAATACCAAACAAATTATTCTTTTCAAAATCATTTTTCAGCCCTGAGATGACTTAGAAACATCTCAAAACCCTATTTATATCTAGCAAGCTTCCTAACATGGCTTCCCACAATATCGCAATATTGTTGACATATTGTAGGTGTGACACCACAAGAGCTTTGTTCCCTACTGCAATAACTTTGCACAATTCAATTTCGATTCTTATACATTGGAACACTAAATGCCTCTGCTACAAAGTTAAATAAGAATAGGGACAAAAAATAGCATGCCTCAGGCCTCTCTTAAATTCGAATTGTGTTAAGTACACCATTTACTAATATTGAAGCCTTCATGCACTTGTGCCAACAGTCATCCAATCCCATCTTTCATAACTATATCAAAAGGATTCAAATTAACATTATCATAAGCTTTTTTAACATTCACTTTAAGTAATAAACCTCCACTCTTTTTTTTTTCTCATAAAATCTGTCACCTCGTTGCAATCAAAGCATAGTCTATGATCCGTTTTCCCCTTATAAATGCAAGTTGATTACACCCCACTAATTCCTTCGCCACTCACCTCAATCGGTTGGCCAAGACCTTAGTGTAATCATGCATACGCTGCCCACAAGGCTAATCGAGCGATTATCCTCGGTATGGGAGGGGCTATCACATTTTGGGAGTAGAGGGATAAAAGATGTGTTGATGCGGTCCTCAATATTGCATGAGGAGTAGCATTCCTGCATATACCTTATGATGCCGCCTTTGATCATTTCCACTAACTTCTGAATAAGTTTACATTAAACCCATCAGGCCTAGGTGTCATGTTTCGATTTCCTCAAGTTACACGAGGATGGCTCTGTTAAAGGTAAGTCAAATCCTTCAAGTTGTGGTGGAGTTTTAAGAAACTCTAGTTAAAGATAATTTCTTTATAATTTTCTCTAGAGCGGTTAGAGTGATCGATTCTAAATTTACTGTGTTGTATGCAGCTAAAATGTTTCTTTAGATCTTTTGGGATTCATTTTTGTTTGAGGAAAAAATTTTAATTATCAAATTTTATTCCATTGTTGTTATCCGATGGGTGCTTAATCCATGCAAAAGACCTTGTAAGCTTTGCTTAATCTCTCAACTATCTGTTTCAGTCATTGCCCTTTGCGTACACTCTTTCTTAAAAAACAAATCATGATTAAATAAAAAAAACCATAACGCCTTAATTTCCAACCTAGGCTTTATTAATCTTGTCTTGGCTTTCTTAAAAATTGATGGCTATTAAATATTAATTTTTTGAAAAAAAAATAAAGTCATCGCAGGTAGCTCTCTCTCAAGTATTTTATAATTAATACATCTTATATGGTCAAAGAATTATCCACGTTTATATAAAGAAAAAGAATTATTCACCTGAAATATATTACTTTTAAGCAAAGTTGATTTCAATATTGGGTGATCTTGTGTCAGGACTTGTCAAAAGAAAAAAGAGTTATATGGAAAATTGTCCAGAGTATGGACTCGACGGGATGCAATAATTGAAGATTGTTTGATTGTAATTATAATATTTATTTGTTTATGTAAATCTTATAAAAAGATAATTAACTTTGTTATGTGATAGTTCAATTATTTTGAGAGAGGGAGAATTGTATTTTATATTTTTTTCAAGAGACAGGATAGGATTATTATGTATTAACAAACCTAACCCAAGGTTATATGTTTAAGAAGAATATTAGAATTCAATACAGAATGGGAAGTAAGCTTGTACAAGAACCAAAATGATGTAACTGTTCATATTCGAAGTCCGAAGTCCAAAGTCCACTCTATTCATAGTAGACAATGATAGCGACGTAAGTATTGCCAATCAAAATCCTTGAAAAATGTGGATTTGTTCATTAAAAAAGCAGGGGAAGAAACACAAAGTCGGCTGGACAAGCTGGAGTCAATCAGAAAAATCATATGTTTCTTCGTTTTTTAATTAGCAGGAAATTTCTAGGATCCCTCAACCATGTGAGGCTAGCCACTTTCCGAACTCCAAAACTGGCAGAAAGGAACATCGAAATGGGACAAGTGCCTCCCTGATCCACATAAAGGGCTTTCACAATTTCTCCCGTTAAACACTCATTTCCATTTAGTTTCTGCTTGACCCTCCAGCGTGTGAAACAAGGGAAAGATTGTTCCTGTATCTTCACTCGCCCGAATGTAGTGGGAAAGCAAGTGAGGATCAGGCATAGAAAATTATGAATGAAATGGACTTTTAAATAATATTGTATCGTGATAAAAATGAAGTGAGATCTGAACCTTCCAGGAAGTGAGCAGTGCTTCTGGGTCAAATACAGAAAGGTCACCAGTTATACTGTGATTACTGAGATTAATAGGATTGTTAATGGGTAAAGCATTCATTAATTTTAAAATACTTAAATCTTAACTAAAAAAAAATTTCAAATCTTATTAATTATATGAATAATTTTAAAAATTACTACTTAATCTTAACCTTAATACATTTCAATTATCCAATAATTACCCTAATTAATTTAAAAACTCAATTAGATGAAAAATTATTAAAATATTTTTCATAAATATCTAATTATCTGAACCCGTAATCATATATAATAATATTTTTTATATATTTTATAATTAACTACTAATTAAATTAATAAAAACACAAATACTAAATTTAAATTTAAATAATTAAAAACTATAAAGTGTGTTTATAAATGAATATAGTATATAATATAAATCAATATTATTTTATTATTTAGTAGTTATTAACTTATATAATAGTAATTATATTATTTATAAATAAACAAATATATAATATAAAGTGTATGCATTAAAGACATTACAAGTTATATATTATAAAGTGTGTGTAATATATATTATAATTAATAATTTTATAAGTTATAATTTTTAATATTAACACAAAATAAAAAGTAAATATATTTATATTAAAAGTATATATATTAAAAGTATTTTAGTGCATATATATAATAGTAATTATATTCCCTATAAATGAACCAAATATCTATAAAGTATAGATATTAAAAGACATTATAAGTTAATTAATAATTATAGTTTCATTAATTAATTAAATTAATTATATGAGTTTATCCTTAATTATATGAAATTAAAAAAATATTCAAAACTATTATAATCTCATAACTTCTTTATAGCTAATTAAGTTTTTATATTATAAGTTTATATAAGTAAATTATATATATTATAATTAATAATTTTATAAGTTATAATTTTTGTAATATTAACACAAAATAGAAAGTAAATATCTTTATATTTAAAATGTATATACATATATACACACATACTCAAAGTATTTTACTATATGTATAATAGTAATTATATTTTTTATAAATAAATCCAATATATATAAAGTAAATATACTAAAAGACATTACAAGGTAATTAATAATTATAATTTTATAAATTAATTTAATTAATTATATGAGTTTGTCCTTAATTACATGAAATTTTAAAAAATAACTAAGTTTCAAAACTATTCCAATCTCACAACTTTTCTTAATGTTTGTATATTATAAGTTTATATAAATAAAGGTGTATATATTATAATTAATAATTTTACAAGTTATAATTTTTATAATGTTAAAATAAAAATAAATATTTTTATATTTAATATATATATGTTAAAGGTATTAGAATATAGATAATATAGTAATTATATTTCTTATAAATGAACCCCATATATTAATGTATATATTAAAAAACATTCCAAGTTAATTAATAATCATAGTTTAATGAATTAATTTAATTAACCATATGGATTTGTCTTTAATTGCATAAAATTAAAAAAAATAGTTAGATTCCAAAACTATATAATCTCAAAAATTCTTTTTAAGTATATATATTATAAGTTATAATTTTTGTAATATTAATACAAAATAAAAAGTAAATATATTTATGTTTAAAATATATAATAATAACTATATTCTTTTATAACATGATATGATATTCATATTATTTAAACATAATTAATAATTTAATAACTTTTTAATATATTAATATCATCACATTAATAATTTGAGTAATTATACTTTTTAATATATTTATAAGCTTTTAGTAAATATATTAATATTTGTTATTTTTAATTTAATTATTTAAATAATATATATATATATATATATATATAAATGAATGTTGACATTTAGTTAAGGACGAGTACTTACGTAACTCAAATATTGATATAATTGAGTTTGAGTAACGGATATATAATAATTATTATATTTTTTTCTAATATGATATGATATTTATATTATTTA